CCTTCGTCTCCCACTACTGCAGCTGTCGCTGAGGGGGGTGGATGTGTGGGAGACTGGGGTTTAGGATTTAAGGGGGGTGCGTAGGAGTGGAGCTAGCGGTGTAGCAGCGGGTGTGTGCCAGGGGAAGTGGGATAGTTTGGGGAAGCTGAATGGAGGTTGCCGTCGTGTCGCCAGCAGCCTCTGTATTCCGGGGACTTCGTCCGGTAGCCCAGTCGTAGCCAGCTGTGCCAGCCGCCCGTGCGTCCGTTGCTCGTCTGCCGCTACTTTAGCCGCGGGGCTAGTTACTCCAGTATTCCGGCGGCTTCGCCCGGTAGCCGCTGTGCCAGTCTGCCTCCTGTTGCCCGTGTGTCTGCAGCTTCAGCCGTCGCCTCCTATCTCCTCTCCTCTCACTCTCTCTCCTCCTCCTCACTTGCCCGTTGTGACTACCACTAGCTTTGTTTATAATTGTGAACTCTAAACTATTGCTTCTTGAACTTGTGCTCAGAATGTGTGGTGACATTGTGATCCACCCTGAGCCTGTACTGCTTTGCTTGCTCTGTTGATTACACCCCACTTTGGCTATGGGGGTGTGTCAGAATGTTATCTTATGCTCTAGCCTGTAGTGGGGTGCTCTATAGCGAGTACAACCCTTCTAGGGTTTGCTATTTGTATCCTCATTCTTGCTAGTTCAATCCTCTTCTCTCTTCTAAACTTTAACATCCGCTACTTCCTGTCTCGTGAGCTGCAGCAGCGTGGTCAGCTCCGCCTCACCTACGTGGCCTCTGAGGCCAACACTGCTGATATCTTCACCAAGGCCCTTCCGCCTTGTGATCATCAGCGCTTCTGTACTGTGCTAGGTCTTGTGCCTACCTGGCCTCACTTTCTCACTTCTTGATCTTGTTTGTACTGTCTTCTTTCTATACCTGCCCTTGCTTGTTTTACCTTTATATATATGACCTTGCATGTGAACTGGCCTTGTGGCCTTACTCTTGTGCTAGGACTGTGTGGTGACTTTGTGATCCACCCTGAGCTTGTTTTGCTTTGCTTTGCTTTGCTTGACTGGTCTTGTGACCACTTGTTCTCCCCCACTTTGCCTATGGAGGTGTGTCAGAACATTATAGCTTATACATTTGTGTAGGCTGTAGTGGGGTAGCCCATAAGGGGTACAACCCAATTAGGGTTAGTACTTGTACCCAACTGTTGCTTAGTTCATTCATTCCATTCTCACTTCTCGTCAACCAATGCATTACAATAGCTTTGCGATTAACATGCTGTTACCAACATTTATTGTATTTTTAACTCAGCAAAATAAATAAACAAGATTTGACGTTAACGTCGGAACGGTTGCGTAGCTGTTACATCCTTAGTTGACAAAAAAAAAAAAAAAAAAAAAAGATAAACGGTATAGAGCGCCAAGTTCAACTTTTCCCGTATTTAATGAATATGGCAAGCCTGTTAGTTCATAATGATGCAACTTAATACTATTAACGTGGATTTTATGTTCCATAGTTTAAAAATAGGTGAAGATTTTGTTAAACTTTATACTTATATTTGTAACTGCCTGTAGCTGTAGTTAGTGTAGTTATTGTAACCTTAGTTAGGTGGTGCACCCTTGTGTTTCCTATGCTATATGTTCCTTGAACCTATAGTGAAAATCACTTTTTCCTTTCAACTTATTTCTCGACTCTCTCCTCCCTAAGGAAAACCCGCTCGATACCTAAGTTGGGCCTAGGCTCCTAAGCCTAGGCCCTAGTTAAATCTTACCTATCTCTCGCTCATTTTAACATGGTATCAGAGCAGTTTCGTCCTGGCCTGTGGGCCCGCCCAATTCTTCCGCTGCTGGATTTCTGGTCACGCGCCTCGGGCGCGTGACGTTTTACTTTTCAACCCGTCGCGGACCCGCCCCCTTTGGCGCCCGCGGCGGTGCACTTGGCGCCCGCGGACCCGCCTCTGGCGCCCGCGGCGGTGCCCTCTGCCGTCGCGGACCCGCCTTTGGCGCTCGCGGCGGTGCTCTTGGCGCCCGCGGACCCGCCTTTGGCGCCCGCGGCGGTGCCCTTTGCCGTCGCGGACCCGCCTCTGGCGCCCGCGGCGGTGCCCTTGGCGCCCGCGGACCCGCCTCTGGCGCCCGCGGCGGTGCCCTGCGCCATCGCGGACCCGCCTCTCGCCCGCGGCGGTGCCCTGCGCCATCGCGGACCCGCCCCTGGCGCCCGCGGCGGTGCCCTTGAGCCGCCGCGGACCCGCCCTTGGCGCCTGCGACGGTGCTTTCCGCACCTGCATTCCCTGCAGCTGCCCCTGACCTACCTGCATCGACCATATCTAGCCGCTCTGCGGCTTTCTTCCCGCCCACCCCCTCCTCCTTCATCTCCCTGCAGCCGTGGGGGGGAGGGTATGGGGGTGGCGGGTGTTGGAGTCGTGGGTCGTACCCTTCCCTTCCCCTCCTCCTCCTTTTGTTCCCACTGCTGCAGCTGCCGCTGGGGGAGAGGGTGTGAGGGTGTGGGGGAGCAGGGGGAGTGGTACCGGGGTGGCGGGTGTGAGGCAACACGCAGCCGTCCCTCCATCTCTCCTCTCCTCCCCCCTTCTCTGCTGCTCCTGCAGCAGTGTGGGGGAGGGGAAGGAGGAGGGTGAGGAGATGAAGGGGGTGACCAATTAGTGTCAGCCCGCCTGCAGTTCCTGCTGTTGCTTGTTTGTTATTGTTTTGCATGTGTACACCTGCCGGTTGTATTCTGCACAAACTCCGCTGCAGGCAGTTATGGGGGAGTGTTAAACTTTATACTTATATTTGTAACTGCCTGTAGCTGTAGTTAGTGTAGTTATTGTAACCTTAGTTAGGTGGTGCACCCTTGTGTTTCCTATGCTATATGTTCCTTGAACCTATAGTGAAAATCACTTTTTCCTTTCAACTTTTTTCTCGACTCTCTCCTCCCTAAGGAAAACCCGCTCGATACCTAAGTTGGGCCTAGGCTCCTAAGCCTAGGCCCTAGTTAAATCTTACCTATCTCTCGCTCATTTTAACAGATTTAGACACAGATTTTTTTAACTTTGTGAACAATGATAATCTCTATGCTCAAAAATGATATTTTGTAACATGGCACTATGAGGTTCTTGCTAGCAAAAGTGTGGTTCATAGTGAGTTGTTTCTAGCTCACTCGAACACCCCAGCGGAATTCGGTCGACGGAGCCGAATTGCCAGTGTCGTCGAGGGGGGTCGTCGAAGCCTGGGCTGACGGGGCGGAGCACTGACGCGCGTGCGGGCCCGCCAGCCTGGCCCAGGGCTGGGCCGAGCGCACGACCGCCGCCCCGCGGCCCCGCCCCGAATGTGAACAGCGGCCCACGTTACCGGGTGGGGTCGGCGAACTGGCGACACCTCGCGCGTGGGAAAATTACCCTCGCGCGAAGGCAGCCCACACGCGCCACCTGCCCGCGAGGTCCTAGTAACCCATCGCGGCCTGCCCGGACGGGCAGGCGAGGGCCGGGCAAAAAGTCGGGGCCCCCTCGGGACGCTCGACAATTTCGCGACCCGTTGCGGCGACGCCACGTGTTCGCTCGTGGTTTCGCATCGGGCGCATGCGATATTTTGTCGTTGCGAGCGAAAAAAAAAAAAGGCCGCGACGCGGACAACGAGGTTCGTTACCCACTACGAAGTCGACACGTGTTGTGCGAATGCACGCTCATCGCGCACGCGATATTGCGTCCCCTCGCCGACCTGGGACAATGGACGCGAGGTCGACGCCCTGCCGAAGCGGAGTCGGACCACCTGTTCCACTTGCGCATGCGCCCTCAGAGCCCTGCCGAGCCAGGCCCCACACCCTTGGGCGACGCTGAACGGGGATGTGGTGGGCCACCGTCTCCTTTTCTTTGTGGATGGTGGCCTCGCTCCCCATTTTCCGCATCTCGTTTCGCTCCTCCTTTTCCTTTTTTTCCTCCTTTCGTTGCTCTGTGCGGCTATCGTGATATCGCTTCCCCTTAGTCGGTATGGACCCTAGCCCTGACCCCGATAACTCGGCGCCGACTTCGGCTGACTTCCCTCTTCGTCACCAAATGGGTCCTGGTCTCAGCTTCACTTTAGAGTGGGAAGACTTCTTAGTTCTTCGCAACCACAAGATAGAGTTCAACGACGGATGTTTGGATTTCGGCATCAGGTACGACTCGAGTAGTCGGCGCCGACTTAACTAGGTTGGGTGTCGACGCAGTGGCCTTCTGATTTACGTCGACGTGCGCGGTATTAGGCATAGACCCCCTCCAGGAACGCCGGCCACCTTAGGAATCGTCGACCACACGTAGTCGCCCTCTGTACTTTTCGGCGTTTGCTCAACCGCCCTTGTATGAACCTCCTTGCCCAATCGTGCCGTCAGGTTCGCGTGGTCCCGACTTGGGATCGAGAACCAGCGTTTGTGGGTTCTCGACATCGGCACGCTTCGATCGGCCATGCGGCTGGCCGACCATTCATGCTTTGCTGCGGTTTTCGACGCCGACATCGCTGCTATCCCGTTAAGAACGATGTGAGCTGTTTCACCTTTGATCAGTTGTCGTTGTTTAGTGTCGCGACATCGCGTGGTGATGTGATCGACGTCGTCGTGAATTGCATGTGCAGCCTCGGTGCGCTTCCAAGAACGCACTGCAGCGTCATTGCCATCCTATACCCTGGAGATCTGTTGAAGGCTGAGGGACAGGTGTGCAGGACCTCAATCCGGCACATCGACCCGCAGACCGGTAAAGGGTATCACCGCGACGAGGCCGCCCGCGTGCTAAAGTAAGTGCTGAATTGTCGTCGATGACCCGCTTGTTAGTCGGCGACACAGGGTATCACACGCTGACCGCCTCCCCCCACCGCGGTGCTTCAGGTTCTTCTGCACGGCTGTCCTGGCCGAGCTGGGGCGTCCCGGTAGGATGTGGGACTGGGCGCCGCCATCACAAGCAGTGGTGGAGGTCAGGCTTGCCGACTGCGACCACCCTATCCGCGATGTGAGTTGCACGTTCAAGTCGCAAGGGGGGGGTGCCCGTTTCTGAACGCTCCGCTCATCATGTTCCGTGCTTGTATGCAGAAAGTGCCGGGCACAGTGTCGGACGGGCATGTCGGTGCCGGCGTGCTTTCCGCGACGTCGTTCGGGTGGGTAGCAAAACAGATCGACCATCTGACAGGCGAGAAGGGTCGTCGTGGGGTGAGCATCGAGAGCATCGGGATGAAGGGGCTGAAGGCTTTGCGCGACAGCATGGTTGAGTACGTCGGCAAGGTCATTGCCGTAAAACGCACCGCGATGCCGACTTCTCAAGCCGCCGGACCCGCCGACAATGCCATAGATGACGACGTCGCGGAAGGACAGAAGGCGCCCCAAGGTGCAGTTGCCGCCCAGCATCATGGGAACGCGAGGGTGCATGGGGAAGGTGGAAACGGTGGAGGAGGCGACGCAGAGGCAGGTGCAGGAAGGTCGGAAACGGAGAAGTCGTCGTCGTCGTCGGAGTCGGAGTCGGAGGAGGAAGACGAGGCGGTGAAGCGTAAGGACGAGGAGGAGTATGAGGAGGAGGAGGAGGAGAATAAGGACGAGAATGGTGAGAAGTGGGAGGGAGGGAAGGATGAGGAGGGGGGGATGAAGAGGTGGAGTTCGTGGTGGAGTATGTAGAGGGTACGGTTGAGGCGGGAGCGGCGGAAGAGGCGGTGGGGTCGGCAGATCAGGGGAATGAGGAAGAGAAGGATGACGGCGCGGGAAATGCTACGAGGTCGGCAGATGTGGGGAAGGAGAAGGGCGAGGTCGGCGTGGAGGCACCTGGAAATGGCCAGGATGAGGCGGCCTGCGAAGGAGGTGGGAAGGTGTCGGTCGACGCCGGCGAAGGGCCGAACAACGCGGGCGAGCAGGAGGCCGGGGAAGCACCTGGTCGGCAGGGCCCAGAACTAGACAACGTCGAGGTTCTGCGACGGGAAAACTGGTTGTTGCGGGCGGAGAACGCTCGGCTGGCGTCGTTGCTCGATGCGGAGCGGTCCCGGCTGGACAGTTTTTTTGTTGGGGTCAGTCGACTCGTCGACCACGTTAAAGGGTTGGCCGAGCAGGTCGACGACACCGACAAGTATGCCGCCGAACAGCTGCGAAACGCGATGGAGGCCATGTTGAAGACCATCACGGGCAACATCTCCGGCAGCTTTGACGAAGCGTGGAAGTCGATGAAGACTTTCGCGGAACATGCGACGGAGTGGTTGGAGGACTTCGACAATCCGGAGGGTCGTGTCGCGTATGCACGAGCGTTAGCGGTCTCCTCCTTGGCCGAACACGTGGATTCGGTGGTGGGCGATGCGAAGAAGGGGTTGGAAGAGTACATCTCGAACCACCTTGCCTACGCGCAGGTCAACATCGCCACCGCTTTGACCGCCAGGCTCGCCGTGCCGCCGCCGCCACCGCCTCATCCCACGCCGCCCGCCATCCCAGAAGAGATTTTGAAGTCGTTCAAGGCCGACATCCTGAAGGCGGTGACGGAGGCCACCCAGCACTCTTTTGTTGCTTCCGGGATGAAGATCATGACAGAGATGATCGGCACTGTGACGCCTGGTCGACGTGGGTCGTCGCCTTCGGCCAATGACGCCGATAACGCGCAAAGAAAAACGGCCGAGAAGCAGGGCCATAAGAGGACCGGCGACGGAGACGACAAGGGGAGCTCGAAGCGGAGCAAGGGAGCGGACGGTAGTTTCGGGTCGAAGCCTGCGCAAAAAAGCGTGGTCGACCAGCTGAAGACGAAGGCGGGGTGGAAGGTGGTAAGGACGTCGCACAGCAAGGGAGGCGGAAGCGGGGGAGCAGAGGGTGGCCCTACCGACGGGGTTGCCGCTAGCCTAGCTGCTCCGACTGGCCCGCCTTTGGTCGCCGAGCAGACCCATCCTCAGGCGAGCGGTGGGAAAGGCGTTACCGACAAGGAGGTGCCAACTGCTCAGGCGGCGAATGATGGTGACTCCGGAACCACCAAGGGACCACCCGTCGCGGCGGCGGCCAAGCCTGCTTCTGCTACGGTTGCCGGCACCACCAAGTCGAGTCCCCGTAACCCCCTTGCGGCTACCAGCGCGCCTGCCGGCCAGTCAGGTGCGAACAAAGATGGCGAGGCTGCTCCAGCTCCAGCAGCCCCGACTGCCGCCAAGGTTGTCGCGAAGTTTGCTTCGGCTAAGGGTGATGCCATGGCATCAGCTAAGGCCCCCCCCCGGTGGTACCGCGCTCAGAGAGATGCTCCGCCGCATGGAGGCACATAGCAGGGACGTGCAGCAGCATCCCGTGGTCGACGCCGGCCTTCCTGGAACAGCACGCCGCTCCGTCACTACGCAGGTTGCCGGCAAGTCGTCCGGTGCCCCACCTGCCGCGCCTCCGGTGGCCGCCCCACCGCCTGCGGACCCCAAGTCCGATTTTCTTCGCGCCCATTTAGGCGCACGCAAAGCAACTGCTCCGTCAGTGACCCTGCCGGAACTCGGCAAAAGCGCGACGCCGATGTCGGTAAACGCGACCGCACCCACACCAGGTGCATCTGTGGTCGATGTGGCGGCGGAGAAGGGAGTGAGTGCAGCGCTCGCCACCGGCGGCCGCGCAGACAAGCATGCCGACCTCGCTGTCGTCATGGCCCATTTTGAGGCAGCAAAGCGCCCCGAGCACGCCCCTGTTATGGCCATCATGGACACGGCGCATGTGGTGCCGTCGGCGACCCACGGAGGGGGTTCGACGGAGCAGACGGCCGCAACGGCTGCTGTCGCCGAGATAAATGCTGGACGGAAGGAAAAGGACGACAACGGGAAAGGGAAGGCGGTCTCTCAGAGGAGCACGCGGGCGATGACTGCGGGGAAGGTTACGTCGGAAGAGAAAGGAAAGAAGGCGGAAGGGGAGAAGGACAAGACGGGCGGCAAGGGTAAGCCGGCGAAGAAGAAGGAGAAGGCGGAGGAGGAGGACGAGGAGGGCGGCGAGGGAGATAAAGAGCATGGACGCAGGGGTCATGGCATCCGCCGAGACAAGGCTGGCGACGGGCAAGGGTGGGTGGGCGAAATTAAGGTACACGGACAGAATCGGTACATCGGCAAGTCGAGGGAGAAGATGGAGTTGGCCTACGAGCACGCGATTGCGTTCGTCGTCTACGACGGCTACGTGAGCAAGGTGCTCATGAAGGAGCTCACCGTCTTGAACCCGGGGGAGTTGGATAAATGGAAGGAGGTGTGGGCGGAGGTGAAGTTGTTGCCCACTGGGATGTGGACGGTGATGTGGGCCAGAGGCTTGTGCCATCCGAGAGCAAGGTAAGACGGATACTGACGTGCCGAGTTCTGTCGACCAAGTTGGTGTCAAAACGCTGAAGTCCTGTCGTTTTAATGTGTTTGCGCGGCAGGTTCGACGATATACTCGGCAGGTACCGTGGGTACGCGGGTTCGGGTGTTGCGCTTCATGACGTGCTTTGGCCGGCGATCTGGTTCCCCATCAACGAGGACACGGAGGAAGGCAAGGAAGAGACGAACGCTCTCATGTCGGCGATGGTAAATCGCGTGTCGATGTGCGCGGCGTATGGGAAGGTCGCGGCGAGCGCGGCGTTTGGGAAGGTCGATGCGAGCGTGGAGGGGAAGGCGGACGAGAAGATGGAGATGGGGGCCCAGGCGTTAGCGGCATCGGCATGCGCCATCTGGTGCTTCTTGGAGACGGGGGCGTCGGTGCTCGGTGCTGTGGTCGAAGGGAAGGCGGCGGCGATGGTGGCAGGTGCGGGGGAGGCGAGGGCCAAGGACTTCAAGGAGGTGATGCACGCGGTGATCGACATAGCACGCAGCAGGCAAGCTCCCGCTGGGGAGGTTGCACATAACGTCGCGCCATCGCTGCAGAGCCAGGCAGTTGCCAGGGCCTTCGCGAAGGGAGTTGAGGAAGTCGAGGCCGACATGATGGCAAGAGCGACGGTCGAGACCTTGGCGTTCTGGGGAATGTGCCCCGTCGCCGGGCCCAAGCTCAAAGCGCAGGGCATCGATGTGCCGTGTGACGCGAGGATGGAGTACGATATGGATCACAGGGGGAGGAAGGGGGAGAAGGTCAAGCAGAGCAAGGGCAGCAGCAAGAGGAAGAAGAGCAAGCAGGGCATGGGCAGTACGGATGCGTAGTTGGCGTGCTGCGGTGTGCAGGGCACTATTGTATGGTTGGCGCCGATGGCCAAGTTATTCTAATGACTTTTGTATCGTAGGGCACGAATCTTTTTCCGTTTTTTAGTAAATCACTGTCCACATTGAAACTTGCTAGCCGACTTTGAACGATGCGCCTTGTCGGCGCATGTGTCGACATCAAAAGGAACATCCTACTCGGCGAGCAGCGACCACGGACTGTGGTCGGTTGGGGTACCAACGTCGGGCATGTCGACGTCGTCCATGACTGCTCGTATGCTCTACCGCCGGCCGTGGAAGAGGGAAAGATTGGTAAACCAGAGACGGAAGTGATTCACGTCGACGCCTTAGTGCCGACCGAAGTCTATTCCAGGTCGACGCCTGAGTGCCGCCGCTGGGTCGACTCGGCCGTCGAGTAACCTAGATCCGCAGAGACAGCGAGGGTCCTGTGAAGAAAGCGAAGTGCCAGATGGCGCACAGGAGCACGAGAGAAACACGAAGCGGAACAGGCAGAATGAGAGCGTTGTGCGTGGTCAAAGAGGGGTATGGATGTGGGCCACTGCGCACCTGCCGCGCTCCACGCAGCCCTCTTTGCAAGCGCAGCAGTGCACGTGCATGACGTGTCACGATTGATGCATGTTTTGTGCCACGCCGCTTTGCGCTCAGCGGCACTCCCGCCGGTGCCTTGCCACGGTGGAATTCACGTGCGCCACTTGCAATAGGTGCAATAGGCCAATCACCTAGTTCCACTCTCCCGAAATGCCGTAGCGTCCTGCTCTCCCGCGCAAACCTCATCGACCTGCGAGTAGGCGCGTGGCCGGAGGCCTGGTCGACGCCGACATTCCCTGAGTCTGGGGCTCTCTTCGCCTATGCAAGGTTTGGTCCGCACAGAACCATCCGTGTGGGTCGTGCTGCTTCGGTTGGATCTTCGGGCGACACCGACATCTCATTACCTCGCGTTCTCTGGCTATCTAGATGGTGGACACATGTACATGCCTTAGCCAGTCGGCTTTCGCCGCGTGGACGATGGTGACATTTTTCATCGGCGGGCCAAGTTTCGCGCGCAGCGAAAGATACAGGTGCTGCGAAGCGAGGCCACGTCGGCGTCGTCGTGGCACCTCCCGATTGTCAGGCTCGATCTCGGCCGTCCTTACTAGGCCACGTGGCCGTAATCGCGGCTCGGCGCACGACGTGTCGAGCTGTGGTTCAGGGTCCGCTGAGGTATCCTTCTCAGGTTTCTCTCAGCGAATATCGAGGTCGTCAGGTTGTCGACAATCCCGAGGGGTTGAGGGCCCCGGAGGACTGCCAGGTCGCCCCAGTTTGCCACTCGGATGTCGTCAGGAGCTCGTCAATCCCGAGGGGGTTCGTTGTCCTATCGCCACCGCGAAATTGGGCGGCCGTTTTCGTCGGCTGAGGTATATCATCCCAAATGTTTCAGCTAGCTGGATGTGCCACGTGATGATGCGTGTGTTCACGTGGATACTAGTCTGTTTTTGTTTCCAAGTGCCCAAGTTTTGATCAAGTTTTCAGATCGACCCAAGTGTTTCATGCAGGTGTACAAAACTCCTCTAATTTCCCAGCTCCTTCAATTTGGTTACTTTAGTTACTGCCCCACCTCCCTTTCCCAAACCAACCCAACAAACCCACCTCATCATTGCCTCTCCTCCGCGGACCCCCACCCACCTGTTGCCTCTCTCTCTCCCACCCACCCAGCTCATCATCGCCTCTCCCTCCCACCCACCCAGCTCATCATCGCCTCTCCCTCCCACCCACCCAGCTCCCCCCCACCCCGCCGTCCACTCTCTTTCCCACCGCGCAACCCCCTCTCCCTCCCACCCGCTGTCGCTTCTCCCTCCCATCCGCCGTCGCCGCTCCCTCCCTCCCGCCGTCGCCGCTCCCTCCTCCCGCCGTCGCCGCTCCTTCCCACCCGACCGTCACCTCCCCCTCCCCTCCCGCCGTCGCCTCCCCGTTCCTCCCGCCGTCGCCTCTCCCTCCTCCCCGCCGTCGCCTCTCCCTCCTATCCGCCGTCGCCGCTCCCTCCTATCCGCCGTCGCCGCTCCCTCCCATCCCACCGTCGCCTCTCCCCCCATCCCGCCGTCGCCTCTTCCCCCATTCCGCCGTCGCCTCTCCCTCCCATCCCGCCGTCGCCTCACCCTCCCATTCCGCCGCCGCCTTCGGCGACAGGTCACGAGCAAGCTGGTGCGCGAGTGGGAGCTGGTGCGCGAGTGGGAGCTGGTGCGCGAGCGCGGGTTGGTCTCTGCACCGTGAATTGCAGGTGCGTTTACCCTTCCTGGTCCTTTTTCCCTCCCTTCCCCCTACTGGAAGTTCCTATATTTCCGATTTTTCCTTATCTTATTTGTAGTTTCTGTGTGTTGATTGGTCTCTTGCGTTGCACTACCATTTGAAGAGGGGGAAGAGGGAGCGCGAGGGAGCGAGAGTGCAGGAGAGTGCGCGCGTGAGAGCGAAGGAAGCACTAGAGGGAGATAGAGTGGCAGAGCGTGCAAGAGGGAGAGTGGGAGGGAGAGGCGCGAGAGAGAGAGAGAGAGAGCGCCGTGCGCGCTTGCGCCGTCGGCGCGGGCGCCATTGGCGCTTGTGCCTTAGCCGCTTGCGCTTATGGCGCTGCGGCCGTGGGCGCAAGCGCCGTGGGTGCTGGCGCCTAAGGCGCTTGCACATATTGCGTAGACGCCGTGGCCGCTTGCGCCTAAGGCACTTGCGCCATGGGCGCTGGCGCGTAAGGTGCTTGCGCTTAGGGCGCTGGCGCCGTGGGCGCTTGCGCCGTTGGCGCGGGCTCGGTGGGTGCTAGCGCCTAACGCGCTTGCGCTTAGGGCGCGAGCGCCGTGGGTGCTGCCCCATGAGGCGCTGGCGCTGTGGGCGATTGCGCCGGGGGCGCTGGTGCAGTGGGGCGCCGTGGGCGCTTGCACTTAGGGTGCTGGCGCCTTGGGCACGGGCGACGTGAGGGCGAGACTTGGATGTGCACGTGCACTTGCGGGTGAGTGCGGTTGTGAAGGCAAGGGCAAGTGCGAGTGCGAACGAGAGAGCAGGTTCGAGCGTAAGCGCGAGTGTGAGTGCGAAAGCAATTGTGGGAGTGAGTGCCAGGGCGAGTTTGAGGGTGAGTACGAGTGTGAGTGTGTGTGTGAGTGCAAGGGGGAGTGCGAGGGTCCGTTTGAGTGTGCTAGGGTGATTACGAGGATGAGTGCAAGAGTTTGTGTGTGTGTTTCTGTGATTGTCGAAGAAGAGTTGAGAGTACATCACATGTGTTTGAGTGAAGAGTGAGTGCAAGAGTGAGTGCGATGGTGAGTTTGATGATGGCTGCGATGTTGAGTGCAAGCGTGAGCGCGGGTGTGAGTGCGAGGGTGTGTGATGGTGTGTGAGGGCAAGTAGAAGAGTGAGTGCGAGTGTGAGTGCGAGGGCGAGTGTGAGCGTGAGCGTGAGTGTGGGTGTGGGTGTGGGTGTGGGTGTGGGCGTGATTTGAGTTCAAGGGCGCCACTGTGCCGGCGACTGTGTGCGTGTGTTAGTGCGAAAGTGTTAGAGTGAGTGCGCGAGTTCGAGGGTGAGTGCAAGGGTGTGTGTTTGTGTTTCTGAGAGTGTGTCTAAGAACGGTTGAAAGTAATTGTGCGTCCGTGAGTGGTTGCGAGAGTGAGTACGATAGTGTGTGAGGGTGAGAGGGCGGTTTTTAGTCCAGGTGCGAAAGCGGGTATGAGTGCGAGTGTGAGTGCGAGTGTAAGTGCGAGGGTGCGTGCAAGTGCGTGTATGCGGGTGAATATTAGAGGAAGTACAAGGGTGCGTGTTTAGGTGAGTGTGAGGGTGAGAACGAGAGCAAGAGTTAGAGCAAGTGCGAGAGTGAATGTGAGTGTAAATATGATGGTGTAGGGTTTGGGGTGAGTGTGAGCTCGAGTGTGAGGGTAGTTCAAGGGTGAGTGCGAGGATGAGTGGGTGTGCGTGTGAGTGCAAGGCTGAGAGTGAGACTGCATGCAAGTGTGTGTCTTAGGGTGAATGCGAGAGCAAGTGCGAGTGTGAGTGCAAGGGTGCGTGTGAGTGTGCTTGCGTGCGCGTGTAAGTATTTGTGTTAGTATGATTGGGAATGAGAACGATTATGAGTGCGAGGGTAAGTGTTAGAGTGAACGTGTAGGTTTGTATGTGTGCTTCTGTGAGTGTGTCTAAGAAGTTGAGAGTATTTGTGCGTGTGTGAGATAGAGTCTAAGAGTGAGTGCGAACGTGAGTGTGAAGTTGAACTTGAGGGTGGCTTCAAGGCATGGCATCATGCTGGTGTCACAAATAATACCAAATTTCCTCTGTGAGCTGTCATTCATTGCTCATCTTTTTTTGTGTGCTTATTTCGTCTCTAGTGTGAGCTGCATTCTTTGCTTTTGTTTTCTTTTGCAATGCAGTGAGGTGTACTCTTTGTTTTTGCTTTCTTATGCAGTGCGGGTGAGTTGTTTCCTGCTTGGCCTCCGCACATGAGTTGCATTCTCTGTTTACTGCTTTCTTGTACACAATGTGTGAACATCCTCTATTTTTGCTTTCTTGTGCAGTGCGTATCTTGCATTCTCTGTTTTTACTATGTGCAGGGTGCGTGAGCTGCATCCTTTCGGAGAAGGGAAATGAGGGAGGCAATGGGAGGGAGATGAGGGAGGGAGGGAGGGAGGGAGGGAGGGAGGGAGGGAGGGTGGGTGGGAGGGAGGGAGGGAGGGGTGTAGGGAGGGTAGGGGGTGATAAACTAGTGATAATTTTGTTAATAGCTGAATGTCATGATAATTTCGTACACAAGATGCCCGTTTGACTAGCCCAAGGTTGCCTTGTGAAGAGGGCTGAATACTTTTGCTTGCATTTCGCTAAGTTTTCGTCAATTCGCACCTAGCAAAAAGGGCTTTTAAAAGATTTTGTAAATCTCTGTTGATCGTTTGACGTTGGTCTCTTCTATCAAACTTCGGTTTTTGTGGTTCGTATTGCTTGAGGGGCTTGTAAATGGGGTGCAACTGGCTGGCACCCTAATACACGGCTGCAGAGTTTCCATCGCGGGCAGGGCAAATTCGCGCGCAGAGGTTGGGCATCTTGTGTACACGTTACGGACATTGCACTGGTGTACTACCGGCTCACTAGATTCGGAGGATATATAATGACGGCTATTGAAACCCTTTTTGTCATTTATTGAATGCTCTGAACAGTTTTGGTACAGGCAAAGCTTCACGGGGTTTTCACTATTGGATCATTGGCGCGTGATGGTCCACCTGCACGCTGGTGGTTAATGTCGCTACTGCTACTGGCACTCGGAGCCAGCCATTCGCGCAGCACTCATTTACTACACTCCACGGACGGTACACTAGCGTGTCACTTGCCCACGGTTAATGACTAAGTGGCAATGTTTTCCCAAAGCAAGCAGGGCTATGTTGACCTTGCCGTGAATGTCTTCTCTGGTGGTCCTGACGATATAGTGACGGCCAACGAAACCCACATTATTTTTGTATGCTAATTGTGATCAATTTGTTTCCAATTGTGGTACAGGCCAACCTTCACGGGAATATCACTATAGGTTGACTTGCGCCTGATGCTTTACATGCGCACAAGTGGTTTTATTCTTCTCATTAATCAAGATCATACAAAGGGTGATACTATGGACTACACTATACTGACTACTCTATCCCATTGTAGCCTAATCCCTAAAGAAACTACTCTAACCCGTAAGGCCGCCCACTATAATGAATACTTTTGCTCATGTAGAAGCTACACAATACCGTAAATCCCCACATATCTCAAATAGTGCCCGCAAAAGGTGCCGACTCGCGATAGGACTTTCGGGCCTTGGGGCGCTTACGGTACCTCCTCTTCTCCGGGTATGCGCTGCCACCATACTTGCCCATGCAGCGGTTCTTAGTGTGACCGTGCAACTGACAAACGCTACACGTGTACGTATGCACAGCCTTCTCAACGCGTGCGTAGCTTGGTGGGCGGCCGGCAGCCGTGCGTCGAAAGGGTGGAGCATCGCACTCGCCTGGTGCGGCCAGCTTCCTCCCAAGGACTATGCGGTCCACACAGGAACCCTTCACCGTTGAAGAATACGTCTCCGCCCAGTTCTTCGTGGTGTAGAAGTCGGAGACGAGGGTGCAAGGGTCTAGCTCTCGCCTTAGAGCAAAGGCCACGGCATGGGAGCACGGGAACTGGTACTGGTCCCAGTTTGAGCAGTCGCATGTCCTCAGTTCGATGTTGATGTTGACGTTGAAGGACCTCCATTCCTTGGGATCGTCGGTGTCCCTGGTTTGGATGGTTCCTTCCTCAAGATCCCCGCCCAATAGCTCGTACCCCTCCGCTCGGGTCTCCTTCAACACCATCCGCTCCTCTGCCGCTTCCGTAAGTAGAGCAGTTCTCTCCCGCGTAGCCATTTTGCGTTCACAATACCTATCCCGATACCAGTTCATGAGACCCCCTAGCAGAGGGGTGACCGGCAAGCGACGAATGGGCACGATTGAGCTGTTGACCTGCTCTGCTGCGTTGCTCGTGAAGATCCCAAAGCAACGGGTTGGGGCCTTAATGCGATTCCAGTGGACGAGGTTGATGCCCAGCTTCTTCCTCGTACCACGCTTGTTCTGCCTAAACCCTGTCCTCACGGGTGTAGTATGGTCCCCTTCTGCGACACCGGCCTCGGGCGTGTTATCGTCGGCGTCCTCGTCTGCCCCCGCCTGGTTCCCCTCTGCTGGGGCTGGGTCATTCGCATCATCTGCCTCTGCCTCCTCTGCATCCGCCTCCTCCTCATCGTCCTCCTCAGCATCGGCTTCAACCCTAACACGGGGGTTGCCACTACCGACATCTGGCCACGGGTGATCCAGAGTGACAACGACCAATGCCTGGCAGGTATTTCCCCCAGCGTGCTCATCTCCACCCTGGCCCGAGTTTTCGCTTGATCCTGTTGCACGTGGCGCATCCATCCGGATGTTGCTGGGGATGTAACCTGTCCTAACGCGTCGCAGGATGCGAGCATAGTCGAATGGACGTGAAGCTGCATGAGTCGAGCATGAGGGACGACTGGGCGGCTCGGTTGTGGTAGGGGGCTCAGCCGGCGGAGCCGTCGGGGTAGAAGTGCTTGCAGTAGGTGCAGGCCTTGGTTCGGTCGCTGTGGCTCCCGGCTCGCTCGTGTCACCCGCCCCACACCCATGCGCACGTGATATGGTGGCGCGACCCATGGCGGCACGCGCTGCTTCACGACCCTAGCGACAGTTCTCTACCGCTTGCTGACGTTCTTCAGCTGCTGTAGTGGGAGTGGGACGTTGTTTCTC